CAGCTGCTACATCCCGGCTGCCCCACTGGGCTGGTGGAGGTCGTGGGCACCAGATGGAGCCTGAAGGAAAAACCTGTAGGAAATGTACTTTTACCTCCTCTGCATGTTTTTTTGGATTGGATTATAAAAAATGTATTTTTGTGTAATATATAAAAAGACACTTAATAGAACATCACTCATAAAGAAGGCAGAGACCTTGTAGTAAACACATGAGCAGTACAGCCGAGTTTTACTTGGCTTTTTTTTCCCCATCATTTTAGATTTTGTTATGGTATCATCATAATAACCACATCTATGTGCTAGATTTATTTAAATGTAACTGAGCATGAAACTGAAAATTCATGCAGAGGAAGCACATTGACTGAAACATACATGTAAATGCAGGACATATAGTGTAAATGTATACTGGTACCTAACCTGCACACAGATGAACCTGTGGGTCTGATGTTTGCAGCAGTCCCAGGGATTTTCACTGCAGCAGATTTGTTTGTTTTCATTGAATCTTTGTTTTATGACTTTTAGCTTCTTAGGAGACTCTGCATTTAATATTGTAGAAATACTGCTCTCGGAGTAGTAGTTGGTTTTTATTTTTCCCCCACTGTGGAGTTTTTGAAGAACTTTATAGGTCTTGAGGTATTTGCAGTTTTATTAAATCTAGATTCTTATGAGTTAAGATTAGACAAATTATTTCAAAATGTGTCAAAACATTTCATCACAGTCAACATGTTGCTACTTTTAGATTCTTGTCTTTAAAGGAAGAGCTCACCTTAAGGATGGAGGGTTAGGGTAGAGACTCACGAGTGAAATAAAGGTTTTGAAACCATCAGTTTGGTTGATGTGTTAAATTACATTCACTGAGGTCATCCTCCAGTTTATCGGATGACAGGATGTGCAGGCACTCACACAGGCCCACACACTTCCTCTGGCCTTTTGCCTCCATATCCTCTTACTGCATCCCTGCTCCCGGCATCAGAAAGTTGTTATGACGACCCCAGTAAACACGAGCCGGGGGGCGGGGGTTGTCCCATTTACTGTCAGCTTGGCAGAGCAGCACTGCCGGCTGATGGAGCAGCTTTAGTTCATCGTCTGCCCTCTGGTGGCTGAAAACACACATGGCTCCCGCTCCCATGGGCCTGTACCTTGTAGGCTTGTCCAGTATTCCATCCACAGGTAGGAGGGTGGTTGTTTCCTCCTCCTAAGCTAAGCTAATCACCTGGCTGAGTGATTAGCCATAATTGTCAGATATGAGAGCAGTATACAGTAAATCTTCTCCTGAATTGAACAGGAAGAGTATTACCAAAAAAAAAACCCCAACATGACTCAAAGACTTAAAAGTGATAAAAGATTTTTCCAAGTTCTAAATCTGCCACCAGCTTGATACACGGTCAGGTTAGCTGCCTGTAACGAGGTAGCTAACCTGACTGTTCAGAGGCAACAACCTCCACACACCCGCACCTCGAAACGCACTAATTAACATGTTTGTGTTTGTTACTCTGCACAGAAATAGAAATGTAAAGATGGCACTTTATGGGTTTACAAGGAATTACATACAACTTCCAGGCTAGCAGCTTCCTGTTTCCGGTCTTCATGCTAAGCTATGCTAACCACCTCCTAGTAGTGGTACAGACGCTCCATGTTTTAATAACGCACCTGGAAATTGGATGCGAGTTCCAATACATAGTGTAGCACTTGCTTCCTACTCTACATCGGTACTAACTTGTAATAATTACTTTATGGGTTTATTGATTATCGTATTGATCTTGAAACGCATATAGTGGAAACAGTATTTCTCCAAATGTTTACTTTTATTGTTGATTTATACTTGTTAAAGTTTTCAGAGATTCTCACCAGCACTGGTTTCTTAATTTATTTGTTTCAGTAAGTGAATGAGACCTGATAAAGCCCAAACAACGCTGAAGAGCCTGTTCAGTTCTATGTATAGTCGCCTTGGCCCACCAACAGCAGAGAACTGAAGCCACCAAAGCCCTTTGACATGTGAGCAAACTCCCTCTCACCCTCACTATTGGTCAGCCACTGATCCCATTCAGATGTTGCCAGGGAGAGAGGGACCCCCACCCAAATTACACAATGCTCACACTCCTTCCTCTGGTATTTTGCTAATTCCCACAGGAATGAACAGATTCCAGTCACCTCTATTTGGGACAGCAAATGTGTTTGTGAAGAGGAAGCTGCACTGATGGAGAACCAACAGCAAAACAAACAAACCTTTAAGAACTGAAACACAGTAATGTAGATGTAAGCAGCTATAAGGACGATTACTAATGTTATAACTTCTCTTGCCAAAAATTCAGAATTTTTTCAGCTGTGTTTTACTACATTGTCATTCATTATCTGTTTATATAGCAGCCTCCACAGGAGGAGCTATTAACAGATGTAGTTATGAACACATCTTCTTACAACTACATCAGTGTGTTTTACACTTTTTATTTGATGTTATATACAGTTTATGAATAATACAAGGGGGATTTAACCTTTTTTAATACATTTTGTATTAATGCAGTGATACTTTTACTTAAGTAAAGGATGTGAATACATCTTCCATTACTGGCTGGAACCATAATTACTGCATAACTTCATAACATTGCTGTTTAGCACAGTTCTGAACTTGCAGTAAAGGAAACAATTCATGACCTAAAAGATCCAAGTGTCACTGAGGGCATTCACAGTATCCATCCAGAGTCTTTGGAGGTTGGTATCTGTGTGTGGGTGGTGGGTGGAGGAGGGTGGGTGACTGAGGTGTAAGAGCCATAATTCTCACACACGGCCAACCAATCAGCAGTCTGTGGGGGCAGAAAGCCGGTAGGTTACACTCGAGCATTAATAAACACACGACACCGGACAAATAGGCAGAAAGAGAGTCAGGAACAGACACGTTTCTTCTCTTGTTCAACAGGATCACTGGACTTGACCTGGACCTGAGGCAGGAGACGACCACCTAACTGTCCTTCTGAGGTAACGTGCTCTGTTGGTGCAGAGTTTCAGGTGGTTCACACTTTGTCCCATAGGTCACAGAGGAAAGAGGGAAGTGGGTTTTGGGAAATAAGCAGTGTAGCTGTGGTGGAGCGTGGGAAGAGTGGTCAGTGGGGATGTAGACCTCCATATCCTGGAAGACTGGTTGTCTTAATCATGGTGCTACCTGAATTCCAGGAAGTTTAAGTTAGTGTTCCCAATAGTTCTTTGCTTTGGGAGCATCCAGGTCAGATCTATAAACCTTAACATTACAGAGTAGTTCTAATTTGTGTTACTCGTGCACCCTTGAAGGCTCTGTATGAAGACTTCAGGACAAGTGTGTGTGAAGTGTGTGTGTTTTGATCCCCCAGTATTCGCTGTCGACATGGCGAGAGGCTAAGGAAGAGAGACTCTGACAGCTGGCTGGCCCAGTGGAAAGCATGCAGCTACTTCTCTGCGTGCCAAAGCTCTGCCTGCTATTTATACTCACCTTGCCAGGCTCACTACTGGTGTCTGCTCATTCCCGCCCTGGCACGGCAAATACCATCACAGTTAAATGCTGGCCAGTTACAAATATGTCCGTTCTATCAGGTCTTTGTATTGCACATAAAAAAGGATGTGGTTTTTCCCTAAGCTTTCCATCCTCATTAGTGCTGAAACTGTTGCCTTTGCTGACCTCAAGTGGTTTAACTCCTTACCTTGCTGTGGTGATGTACACGCGCACTCCAGTGCACATTGATGTCAGTGTCGGCTGTGGTTACAGGTGTGAGACTTTGAACTAGAGAGGTCAGCAGTGTTCTGTTCTGAAGTGACACCATATTGTTTCTAAAATTACTAATGAAGCTGATTATGTCTCACATTACTTTTGTCCAACAATATACTTTCACTTCTGCAGATACAAACCAACAGCGACGGAGAGATGGCCATACCCCAGATGTTCCACTCCAACACACAGTTCATCATCGTGACTGGAGCATCTGAACTCTTGTTTCTTGGTAAAGAGGATGACAGCCAAGAGTGCGAGGAGGAAAAGGAGTCACTGGTTCAAGCCATGGCCTCCCATCTGAGTCGGGTGATGCAGCATGGCACCGCCAAACACGTGGTCACGGAGGAGCATGAAGTGTCTAAGGAGAATCCCTGTGTGTCCATAGTAGCGCAGGCTGAGAGTAAGATCAGAGCGACTGCACCCAGGCTGGGGGTCTTGTAGCTGTGAGCAACTTTAGCAATGGGCAAACAGGGTTTGGTTTCCAGGGCTGCGACATATGCTGAAAAAAGATTATTTGCTGCCACATGGGAAAATATATTATTTCCAATTTCAAAATATTTATAGATTTTCACTTCAACTTAAGAATTGTTCTACTGATAACAAAACTGTAAACCTCCAGACAGTGAGATCCAACCAAAACTAGTTAAATCAGCTCAAAGAGGCATAGTGGCCAAACTAAAAACAAGACTGTTTACTGGCTTCTAGAAATTGTTATTGCTGAAATAATATATTCTTGCCAAGCAACAGCGAGCTGTTTTGCCAACACATGACATACAATGTGCTATTAACCTAAAATGCACCAATTTTACTTTTTAAAACAAAGGTGAAGCCGCCCTACTATATAAAAGTTTCTAAACACTCTGGAAGGACCAGACTTCTGGTCACAGTTCTCTACAAAGCACATTTGGGGTTTCTGGGTTTCACAAAACAGTGACCTCAGTAGAGCCACCCTGCATGAAACAGCTCTCAGTAGTTACACATAGTGCATTGTATTATACTCGTATTTCTGTATATTCTGATTGTGGACATCTCTCTGTCCCAGGAGAAGACCTCCAGGAGTTCAGCCCTACTAACACACAGAGCCCCTATTCCCAGCTGCTCAAGAAGCACAGGTACTGCACAAAATGGAATCCACAAAAAAATCACACTCATTTGTAGGAGCTAATCATTCCATAGCCCTTAACCTGCTGCTCTAACAGCCCCCGCTCCACTGGGAAGTTTTTCCACCACACTGTAGAACCTGGCTGATGGATTTATTGGGAATTATTATCATGTCTAAGTAAGAAAAGGACAAACTGCTGGCATGAAGGTGGAAGAACTATTGTCTAAAATATCCTTGAACCATGAGAAGCACACAAACCTTTGTCAAACAGTGTGCATTCACTGCAGCAACACAGTCATTTGAAAGCAGGTACCTTTTGTTGTTGATGTAAGGAAAAAACTCCATGGCAGGCAGCACTTCAGCCAGACACACAGGTGACAATTTATTATGTACACCCAACTAATGCATTCTAATACAGCAGTCCTGCAATAAATCCATTTCTATCTTGTGAGGATAGGTTAAGTAATTATGCATCTCTCAGTAGAAGGCAGTGCAGTTCAACAGCACTAGTCTCCACAGTGATCATCCAGCTGAATCAGCACATCTGTGAAACAGTTTGAACACATGAAGGACAATTTACTGCAGGACTGCTGAGTTACACAGACTCAGTTTGAGTTAGTTGTTCCTAATAAACTGACAACTGAGTGTATATCTGTCTCTGCTCTAACAAATCTGAGAGAGAATGAACGGGCTGTTAGCAGCACAGACTGCAGCATTTTTTACAAAATCAGATCTATAAATACAAAAATACTTCCACACATACAGTATTGGCTTAAAGTAATTTAAAAAAAAGGATTAAATACTGTATGTAAAACTGAAGTCTTTGTTCTGTGTGTCCTCTCATTTGCAGGTGTCTTGGAAAGGAAGCTGTCCTCATGAGTGACACAGAGGACGACTTTGACGAGGCCACCAAACTCCCGCGCTACCACCTCCAGAGGAAACAGCGCAGGAAACGCAGAACAAGAGGGAGCCAGGAGGAAGGCGAAGAGCCCCCAGTCATCCAGGGTCTGTGGGTGCAGGAGATCGATTGGCTGAAATCTGCAGATAGAGAGACGACATCACCCTCCAAGATCATCCCGCCGCCTCCTCAGTTCACTGACTCGATCTCGACCCCCTGCAGCCAGGGAGGCTGCAGCTGTGCAGGTGCGCGAGGCTGTGCCAGAGGAGTCAAGGCTGCATCTGCATCAGAGGACCAACACAGATCAACAGACACAGACCACACACCCAGCACTAGTGACAGAGAAGGCTCAGACTCTGAGCAGCAATCTGAATCTCTTTGCACTCATGACAGTGAGTCAGACTCGTCTTGCTGCATTGATGGCGACATCCAAGTACCAGATAGCTTTGAAGCTGAAGCCAGCGTGCCAAATCCAGCCTTTGACCTGATGCATTTGACTGGCTTTAACTCCTCATCCTCTCATGCTGAGTGGGATTCTGACTGTGTGCAAAGCGTGCTGGGACCTTCAGACTCCTCCACCGACACCCCCAGCGCTGTGAATGCATCCCAGTGTTTTGATGACACCGTCCTGGGTGAACTAAGAGGCAGAGTGATGCGGATGCCGAAGCTGTTGATTTCATTTTTCTTCAAAGATTTATTACTACAGACTCTAAATGAGTGGAAAACCACAAAACCCGTCAACGAAGGTCTCGTATTTCATCATGTAAGACATTCATATCTCGAGTAGTTTAGTTATACTGATAACTGACACTATATTCACCACATATCCTGAACACCAAGCTCTGCTCCTTTTGAATGAAACGTTCAAACAAACAAGTACTTGGAACAATGCCACAATCAGGGACGTCACAGCTGAGGTGAGAGTAAGAAACTAGAAACTAATTAAAATAAGAAAGCAATGAAAATTGAAGCAGCAGGAGCTGAGATATTGTCTTAAACTTAATATGTTGTTAGCAAACAGCTGCTTTTTTATACATTTAGGTGACCTGACTCTGAATGATTAATGTTAGTCCAGCTGTCTTTTCACCCTGTTTCTGATCTCCTGACAAACATGTCTGGCTCTTAATCCTCTAAACGCTGCACTGTTTTCACCAGCTCATCTCTAGTTGTGTCACTAAGACAAGGATGGACTGTATTTTATATAGCGCTTTCTCACAGTGTGTTGCACTGGCCAAAGCGCTTTACAGAGATGATACACCATTCACCCATTCACACACAACATTCACACACTGATGACGACAAGCTGCCATGCACCGGCGTTTAAAACCAAAACAAAGAGCTTAAACATGCTAAATTCTCTGATCTGCAAATTTGGGTGATAATTCTGTGTGTTTGTCACTATTACACATTACATATAGACATTTGATCAATTGTATTTGTGCAGTTTTGATTAGTACAGGAATGTTAGCACTAGACTAAAGAACCATTCTGCCCAGACGTCACTATGTGGATTAACAATCTGCTCTGCATTTTTTCTTCTGCCTGCTTTTCATTTATGCATTCATGTACTTTTGTGCCCATAAGCAACTCCAGCCCCACAGTTCTCAGTACAGGGAGGGGGAGGAATACTGCGTTCTCCACCACATCCAGAACGGCTCTTACGGTGATGTATTCTGTGTTCAGGACAAAAGGACAGGATTCAAGTGTGCTGCCAAGAGGGTAAGCCAAGAAAAAGTGAGTCATTATTCCAGTTATGCACAACCCCAAACTTTTGAAATAGCACTCTCCTGCTCATGAAGGCTGAAATGATGATTAAGTTGAGAGTTATTTGATGTTATTTAGCTCCTGTCGTCCACTTGTCTCAGATTCCACTGAGTCATTTCAGCAGTGAGGAGGTGAGCACGTGGAGCGCTCTCAACTCTCCTCGAGTTGTGGAGCTTTTAGGGGCTGTGAGAGAGGGGCTCAGCGTCATTCTCTTCATGGACTTAAAGCCAGGTAAACTTTCTTCTGTATGAAAATAATCAGTAAAACCAAAACTCTTTGATAATAATAATGCAATGCAGCCAATAAACTGGAAAACTGCAATGTAAAACAAGAAGAGTCTGAGTAGTGTCATGTAACCAGACTTTCCACACCTGCACAGCTTGTTTGGCCCAGCTCCTAAAAGAGATGACCTGCCTACCTGAGGATTTGGCCCTGCACTACCTTCATCAGTTGCTGGGGGCACTAGAACACCTGCACCGCAGGAAGGTCCTTCACTTGGATGTCAAAGGTGTGTTCATGTTTTAAATGTGTTAATATTTTAAGTCTGAGCTGAGAGATGTTTGCCAGTAGCCAATAGTGTTCAGCAGCACCAATAGAGGCCTTTTACCAGTAATGAAGTATTTTTATATTGATGTATTATCATGTCTATGAATACTTCCTCTAACGCTGCATCACTGTATTTATCTGACACCTACGGGTTATTTTGCAGGCCAAGATGTTAAATACTATGTGGTCAATTTACAAACTATGATGAGGTGTTATTATTACGGTTCTGTACCAGAAACAAATTCCTTGTGTGTAACATACTTGGCCAATAAAGGTGATTATCCTTATCCTTATCCTTATCCTTACTACTGAGCAGCCTAAAAAATTGCTGTTTACCTGTTAATGCAATGATCACACTGAAAGGGCCACAACAGCACTTTGCTCCTTACAGTAATTGTGCCATGCTGATTTTACTTCTGTACTTTTACTTGTCATGTGTTTTTTACTTATTGAATGTTAATAGTGTTTCCGTCACTAGTTTACAGTAGCCCACCCATTATGTGTAGATGCAGATAATACTGTTAAACAGCACTGCTCTGTATCACTTAAGACAAACCTTTTGTATTTTCACTAATGATTCACTGATTTTGTTATTCCTATTTCATATAGACTCTGTAGGCCTGCATGCAACTGACTGCACATTTTGATTCAGGTTTATCTTGTATAGTTTGTTGGGAGACCCCACAGTGTCCCATCTCTGGCTGCAAAGACAGTAGCTTTACTATCAGCAACACTTACAGGGAGAGATAAAGCCTTTAGCTGCTGGTCCTTATCAGCAACACTTACAGGAAGAGATAAAGCCTTTAGCTGCTGGTCCTACAGTCAGCTAGCATCTCCACTGATGGTATCTGTTCTGAAAGTGACAACTCATCCCTAAACCCTCAGTAATCCCTGTAGAGAGGACTGAGTAGGAGTCTAGCCCCCACCACTGCCCTCTGTGTTCTGAGCAGCAGAACCTGGGAGCAGGTTCACTCTTATTTGATGTTCATGAAGAGATGTGCTTCATCTCTGGAGGTGCTACCTTATGTTACCAGCTGGACCAGTGAGGCTGCAGAGGCCTCTGTGTACCCATCACTGACGGCCTCTGACAGTCTCCTGGTTTCTCAGTCACCTGTTTCATAATGAGCACCAAGTGAGAACAAGCTGTCTCTCTGAATCCAGTGTGTTGCTTTGATTCCAGTTGACAATGTGCTGCTGTCTGCAAACTGCAGAGACACGTTCCTCTGTGACTTCGGTCTCTCAGAGACATTAGATGACAGCGGATGGACCACCAAAGCATTCAGGGGTGAGTTGATCCTGAAAAGACAAAAATACACTGCAACAGAACTTATGTTCACTTTTGAGCACATGGCAGAGCTTGGTTATACAAATCAATTTTAAATAAATACAAAACAAGAGAAAAAGTCATTTACGTCCTTTATAAATGTAACACTGATCACATTTCACTATAATCTTCCTTTTGTTACCAATAGAAAAAAGCTGTTGTAAATTGAAAAGGTAATATTTACCACCTGGCTCTTCCCCTAAGGGTCAGTCTGGATGGTGGCTGTTGTATTATCCTGTTTTGTAGCTGGTCCAAGACAATTACATAAAGTTAAATATGAATACTGATGGAGCACAAGAAATGATGTCAGCATTTACATTTACTATGGCTGCGGGCATACAGTCGTAAAATACAAAGAACCACAAGTGGAGCCAGCAAAGTGACTCAGAAACCCCAGGTTTGCTAATTTAACCAGCGTTAGACACTGTAAGCTGCTGGTCATAGCAAACAGAGTCTAAATCTGAGTGTACTGAACTGAGCAATAGTGAATTTTATTGTTGATGAATTCAACTGTTCAGTGTATGAGGAAGAATGTTGTTTAGTCTTTAGACGCATTTTAAATAAGACCAACGGGAATATGATCACATGGAAACAGAGATGGAGAAACTGCAGTTAACTTACTGTAGTGCTTATCGATGCAGGTGCTGCCTTCCCTGGCACAGAGACGCACATGGCCCCTGAGGGTGCTTATCGATGCAGGCGCTGCCTTCCCCGGCACAGAGACGCACATGGCCCCTGAGGTGGCACGAGGGGATCGGCTCTGTGCCAAGGCAGATATGTGGAGCAGCTGTTGTATGCTGCTGCACATGCTCAACGGCTGCCACCCATGGATACGCTACTATTCCCATCCGCTGTGTCTCCAGGTGAGAGACTTTACTTTATCTTAGTCTGAATGTCTCTTTGTTGTTCTTGCAAAATTGGAATCATCCACCCTGAACTGGGCAAAACTACACTGAGGTTTTCTGGCTTTGCTTCTGTTTATCAGATTGTCAACGAGCCCCCACCTCTATGGGAGGTGCCCTCCAACTGTAACAATTTCACAGCCAAAGTGTTCAGAGCTGGACTCCAGAAGGACCCTGAAAGACGAGCATCCGCAAGGGAGCTCAGGAGGAAAACCACCAAGGCCCTCAGAGCAGGTCAATGCACGATACACTCACAAATGATCATTCATTTTTTAAAAATCTTAATAATTTATTTATAGTGCTCTATGTTAAACAAAGCACACAAACAACAATACCAAGCAATACAGGAATACTATGAAGTGCTTTACATAAAAAATATATACAAAGAATTAACAACAAACTCAGAACAGGCAACAACAACAGTGCAATGAATGCAAGTTTGGAAAGAATAAAATCAAGATAGTACAGGCTCAAAAAACAGTAGTTTAAATGACTAAAAAATTGTTAAAATAAGAGGAAGTTGAATTAACTAAAATCAGTGTTACCTAAATGACAAATGTGTGATTAGAGAGGTGATTTAAAAGAGGGCAGACTCAGCTACGGTGGATCCTCTCAGGCAGATCCTTCTATCTGAATGTTAACAGAAAAGAGATGCTGTAAATATTATCACTAAGCTGGAGCAAGGTAAAGGTAAATTAAAATAGGACCCAGGATTGATTCCTGATGCACTCCAAACGTAGTTTTGGCCAATGAAGAGACACAATTATCTAAAGAAACAGAATTGCCTGTTTTCCACATAGAAAACTTGTGTTTCAGTCAAAATCCTTTGACTTCAACCTAACTGCTATCTGCATCATTCAAGTGAATGTTTGCTCCACAGTTGGAGGTCTGAGTCCCTGGTCTGTCAAAATTGCCTGTGAGAAGATGTATCGTGGCAAGAGCCACGGTGAAGACACTCCCTCCTCCTTTTCCTCTGGGCTCTCCCCAGAAAAACCATCAGCAGCTGCAATGTACTGGGTGAGCCCCTGGAGGACTACAGCAGTAGACGAGGACAGAGAATCAGAACCAGACTCTGAAGTGGAGACCGAGCAGGACTCCCAGCCAAAATCACTGCGGGTTGATTACACTGCAGATGAAAAAGACTGGAGCACTGGGTCTGACTCAGAGGTTGATATATACATGGGAGAGGAGGAATTTATTGAGGAGAGACGGCTGAAAACTGACAGGGACTATGAAGGGGACTGGGAAGAGGAGGGAGATGAAGAAGAGGAGGAGGAGGAGTGGGACTCCTCCGTGTCCACAGACTATCTCCGTGCCCTCCAAAGTCATTTCCCTTTACTGCTAAAAGGCCAGCAGACCAATCACAATTCATGGGGATCAGAACCAGAGCTCAAATACCTCAGAGATGGTGAGTCAGAGCACGGCTCAGCGGGGTTTACTAATCTGCTGACTGCAGACACGTCTAAATTCACTTGTATATAATGTACTGCTTTGTCATGAAGTGAACTCTGGTTTGATTAAAGAGAGCTTTTCCTCTCTGTTACACATGTAAAGAAACACTTTAAAGGATAGGTTTGGACTTTTTCAGGTCTATCTTAATACAGTCCTCACAGCTCATGTAGTCCTTCAGTGGAAATGGACAACAACTAAAATCGCTACTGTTTTCGTGCTGACTGAAGTACTTTGTCATCACTAGCTGTACCTAGAGGCACCACGATCCAGACCCCCTCCCCTGAGCCTCGAGATGATCCCCCATCCTGTTTCAGCAGCTCGGATACATCCCAGATAGATGCCTCAGAGGCGGTGTGTACATAGATCTGTGGATTCAGACACAAAGACGTGGGTGGAACCAGTCTTACAAAAATCAAATACCTTAAAACTAAAATTTCTTAACATTTTCTAGGACTCTGATCATTCGTCTGACGACCTGAGCTCTGGAGTGTTTTCCTCCTGCCACAGTCACACAGACAGACACTTGGAGTGGCTGGCCTCAGCAAATCAGCCTTCATCATACCGCTCTGAAGGTGAGATGGCAGGGACTTGGCACTGAATTAAACATTAGTTGACTACTGTTCTCATTGTTACTTGCTGCTCTGATGCTCACAGGTGTTGAGATCTGGATAGAGAACTTCCAGGGCGAGTGTCTGAGGATCCGTGAGCGTCGGCAGGTCAAAGTGGGCCATGTTGCCGTGGGAATTAGTGATCAGGTGAGACTCAGATCAATGATGTCAAAACAACTTGTTTGGGAAGGTTTTCGGGTGTCCTAAGCACTCACACACTCCCAAATTACTGTGTCTGCCCACATCGCACACCGATCATGTCTACTCCATATGAAAAGCTTTTAACAATTCAATGTGTCTATTGAAAAGCAGTTTGACTTCTGAATCTTCCAGGTCAACAGCATCTCGTGTCCCTTTCAGATCTCGGGGAAAGCGTTCACTTTGGAAACCCTGGATAGGAAGCCGGTGTCCTTTGAGCAAGAGATCCAGGAGTCCTGCCTGTGGCTGCGCTGTGTTCTCGCTCCAGACAGATGTCAGCGCTGGAGGTGGAGGGTCAGAGATGGCCAGCTGGAGCTTCAAGAATGAAATGGACAGTTTTCTTATTAGATGAACATGCACAGGTAGCTGCTGAAGAGCTTCTATTTTGGGGAGAAATGTGATGTTATAGTAGCTTATGTCACTTTAAAGATGGACTTCACACAATCACGTTTATTGGCCAAGTTTCTAGTAGCACTCAGTGTATTACATCCTGCTAAAGGTTTCTAATAAGGCATCATTTATACAGGGTTCATAAGCTGTAATTAATTGTTTTATTTATTTGTATAGCTTTGTAAGTTTTGATATACCTTTTAACCACAACAACAGAAATGTATATCAAATCAGATCATTAATGATCAATCAAATCTGCAGTTGTCAATATAGTTTCTAAATGGATTTTGGTCCAAGGGCCAGACATATAAAACTCTGTGTAGAGTCATGACGAAGACTGTGTACACACTAAGAGAGAACTGAGCGTGCACGTAGTTTAATAAAGCCGCACTTATGCCTGGTTCTGCTTTACACTAAACAACTCGGTGCACAAGCTTCTTTTCCACTCCCACCTTTAGCCACAAATAGTTGTAGACATGCCTTTAATCAGCCATCTGCATACGGAGACGGGTTCTGAACCGTACGGTACGAGGCAAGGCAATGAAAGCAACGCTAAAGAAGAAACGCTGTTCCAGTGAGTGTGAAACTGAGACACTTGGAGAGGCAGAGAAAAGAAAAGCTGATTTGTTTGGTGGTTTAAATTCAGGGATCACGAACAGAGGAAAAGCTGCTGAATAGCAAAAATAACTAATGCTGTCAGTACACTCAGATCAGAGCAAAGGACCGTGGCTGAGCTAGAAACTAGTTGGATTGGAAGTGAGAGCAGGAAAAACGCATTCACCTGCACAAAGAGATCATGGGGGCAACAGTAGGAGGACCGGCAACTGCTGCATTATCTACCGCAGTTCTGGTCTCAGTTTTACAAGGACTGGGAGTCATTCCCATCATTACCTTCCCTCCCACAATCCCTGGCTCTGGCTCATTAGTTAATATACAGACCATATAATATTGTCACGATTTGGTTCCGTTGCTTCCTGTCAGGCTTTTATTTTTACGTTACTTCCTCTTTTTGTTTTTCACCTCTGTTTCGGTCACTTTACGTTCACTAATCACTTACATTAGTTTCACCTGCTCCTGATGGTTTGAACCTGTTCACACCGTAATATAAGTAGCCTTCACCCTCCTATCCCTGCCAGATTGTTCTAGACTCTAGCTCTGACTCTCCAGCATCCATACCTTGCCTGACTCTGTTTCTGACCTTGGATTGTTTGTTTTGACCACCGTTTATTGCCTATGTCCTTCCAGTGTCTGATTGCCTGCAGTGTACCGACCTTCTGAGCTTCCCCTGGACCTCTTGAGTTTTGAATCCCCTGGCTACACCTGTTTACCGGCACTGACCCTGGACTGTCTATTCGACCTGATTGTTATACCTGGACTGTGTATTGGTTGCCTAGTTATCACAAGTAAAAACCTTTTCGTTCAATCAGTTCGTCTGGTTTTATAATTGATTCCACCACTAACACCGTTTGATGTCCTTATATGCCAAATATGACATATTATATATTGCATGATACAAGTGTTGATCTTTAAAATAAATCAGTGATTTAAGTGATTATGTAAATAATTGTTATTGTAACAGAGCCTGTGTTACTCACATGAATCCCAGTCTTGTTTTCAGTCCAGTCACGGAGAGACATTCACATGATGGACTTCTCTTGATCCAAAAAAAGAGAAGCAGTGACTGGTATGAAACGACTAGATCAGTTATGCTACAGCCACGTATACAGCAGACACCAAAGCAGTAACAGTTAGTTGTGGCTTCATGTACACATATAGAAAAAAAGCACACAGTATGTCTTAATATTATTATTAACTAAACTTTGTGCAGCCTTACTTACTGTGGAAATAAAAACATTAAAGAATTGTTGTGCTCAGATTGATTTGACACCCTTCCCAGTGTTTTCAGACATCATTAAAGCTTCAGTTAACTCAGAGCTAAGCCTGTGATGATGACTATAAAAAGCCGTCATCAGTGGAGCTTTGACACTAAGATTCATCATGACTGCAGGTAAATAAAGAGCAGAGCTGCCCTAGTGAGCCTGAACTGGACTGAAGAAAAAATCAGTATGTTCACTCATTCATCTGTTTGTTACATTAATTTAAAGAGGCTGTATCTATTAAGCTGTAAGCTGATGGGAACAGGAGATGTGAATGTGACTCACCCTACAGCTGTTCTTGTGCCACGGCACCTCAGGCACCCAGTTAATGCAAAACAAAATGTATTATTTATTATGGTGACTTGAGGATACGTCTGTCTGCATGTGAGAGAAAGAAAAAAGAAAGCATGAGATTAAGGGATCTGTTGTGTCTTTTTTTGGTGTTTGTTTTGTATGTCTTTGTGGTCATTTTGTATCCTTTTGTGTTGCATTAAGCTATAGTTCTGAAACCGAATAAAGTCACTGTCACAAAGGCAGCTCCTGTTGGCCTCATTCCTGTACTTTACCCAGTGAGAGATTGTATATGAGGATTGACAGAAACTTAAACTGCTTTGTTGAGTAATTAATTCATTTTGTAAGAAAAATGCCAAGAAAATCTTTCTAGTTTCAGCTTCTCATATTTTAATATGTGCTGGTTTTCTTGGACTTTCATGATAAACTAAACAAGGACAAGCTTCTTTCAGTTTTAGACCGTTGATCATCAAAAAAAGCTATTTTTGGATCATAGTTAATCTATTAATTAAGAAAACATCTGGCATATTAATTGATAATGAACAGAATTAGTTGCAGCTCTATAACAGATGACAAGATTAGGCTCAAACATTTAAACAGAGTAGAAACATGACTGTGTGCTTATGCGCTAGAGCCCTCTTGTGCACACAGCTAGGAAATCAAGAGAAATAATCACCAGTCAAACTACTAAGGTCATATTAATATGGACCTATATAGGTTGATTTTAGAGACAGCGCACCCGGACGCTATTTTTATTGCGGCAGTTGACTTTAACCAGTGCAATCTATGGATTGTACTCCCCAAATATTACCAACGTGAACATTCCCACTTGGGGCAAGAACACTCTGGTTCATGTTTACAGTAACATACGTGGTGCATACAGGGCTGCACCCCACCCCCACCTTGGATGCTCATACCACATTTCTTTGTTCCTGTATCCAGCTTACAGACAAAGACTGAAACAAACAAACCCTGTCACCAAACAAATTAAACTCTGGACCCCAGAGACTGAAGGCATCCTGCAGGACTGTTTCGCCCAGACAGACTGGGATGTGTTTAAAGCTGCAGCCACCTCAGAGGAATTTTCTGTCAGTGCACAGGACTATGCTGAGTATGTGACTGGGTATCAATATCATTTATGCTCCCACCTCGCCATAGGAGTGTGTTTTAGCTAGTGGTTTTCTTCAGAGCGACTCAAACGCTCTGTCAGGTGTGTCACCATCATCTTGCTCAGAAACACTTGAACTGTGTTGATGGACACACACTGACTGTTACATATAGGAAATGGTAAGGAATCACACCTGTGGTCATAGATGGTTTCCAGTGTGGAGTTCATTTTTTTATGTACAATATCTTCAATATCTCATCTTTGTTTGACATACTGTATGATGCATATTAAGTCATATTAAGGTGAGTCTTTAAGAACACATGAAAATTTCTGTCAGTGAGTCAGCTGTGTCTGTATCATGAAATATCTGATGTCATCTATGTACTCTTTGATTAGACAGCTCTCCTTTGGTCCTCAGTGGTACTTTTGTTCATGTTGCTTGGTAATAGAAAATATGTAACATTTGAAACAATTAGCTTTTTGTAGAAAAACATTTACATTTCTCTGAGTAGAGTGTTGACATAGGTAATTTTAGATGATGCTAGCCATGCTTTACACATGGGAACAAGTGGCCTGTTAGTGGGCCCCCAGACCACCTGAGTGTAAGACTGTTTTCTGAGCTCTCTTTAATGATATGATGTTGTGTAAGGAAATGAAATAAGGCAAAAACAGGCAGTATCCTTTGTTTAGAAGTGTCATGTGTTCATTTGTCCAGCCAGCCACAATCTATTTAACTTTGCTGCTCCACCAGTAAAACGCTGACTCAGGTCAGTGTCATCTGCAGGTAGTCAGTACGAGTCTGCTACAGCCACCTGGCTCCCGGCCTGACTTTGCTTCTGGTTCTAGTGTTTCTGTTAACAACTCACCTTTGCATACACACCCATACACTGTTAAGTGCATCAGAGCAGCACTCAATGCAGCCAGGAGCAAAGATCACTGCCATACTGGAAGTAAATGAAGGCTAATTGAATCTTGCTCCTTTCACCAAGGCCACCCGTCATAACAAGCCCTTACAAACTCGTACACACACAGAGCAGGTCAATGTACAGTGGACAAGAAACACTGCTAGACATTTAAACCCAGTGACCTACACAACACACATCCAACACAAGAAGAGATAAGTATTTTTGAATACATTGCACATGTTGTGTATGTTGTATGTTACATTTATAAATCAGAAATAAAGCCTGACAGCATCCCTCTTTATCAAGCAGCACTTCAGCAAACTGGGGGAAAAAATCACAACAACAAAACTATTTCCATCTTTTGTCTTTGCCTCAGGTACTTTCTGATTTGTGTCAACTACTTCTTCTAAAGCCCTCCTTTCCTCAGGGGTAAGGTTCGGGGGTGGGAGTTTGGCACTGGCCAAAGCGGCTGTGACCCGAAGGACAAAACACCCAGACATAAACAGAGTGATGTGTTCTATGCAATTAAGTGTAGTCAGGAGTGTAACAACTTGTACATTGGTGAAACTAAACAGCCGCTCCACAAATGCATGGCCCAACACAGGAGGGCCAACTCCAGTGGACCAGAGTCAGCAGTCCACCTCCACCTGAAGGACAAAGGACATTCTTTTGAGGACAGTGAAGTCCAGATTCTCTCCAGAGAACATTGCTGGTTTGAGAGAGGAGTTAAGGAAGCTATTTTTGTAAAAATAGAACACCCCTCAATAAATAGGGGTGGCGGACTAAGACACAACTTGTAATCCGTCTACAATCCTGTTTTGAGATCTCTGCCCAAACATGCCCATCAGGACCATAGACGTCGGCCAACAGGTGAGGGTTCAAAGACAGGTAACGCCTCTCACCGATGCTGGGCTATAACGACTCAGTCGTTAGGGGACATCATTGGCCCTCAAAGGACGGAAACACCACCGAATAGGATAAATATCACTTGCTCAACACCAGGCAGAGCTGATGAAGCCTCTTGGATGAGAGGCGAAACGTCTTCGACCTAGAAACCTAGTCCAGTTGATTTTTTCAGCAATCTTCTATATAAACAAAACATTAGATATGCTCTGATGTTTTCATTCATATTAGGCTGACATGACTCTAAAACTATTAAAGAAAACCTTAAAATGGTTACATCTGAAATTAACATCAAAACAGCCCCATGTAATATTTCTCTGCTTGTATATATCCAGTTGTAGGAGTCATATTTATGATAGAAGTGAAAAATTACCTCATTATCTTCCACTTTAGTATGTGCAACAGGTAAAATCTGTGAGAACATGAAACAGTATGAGGAGAAATACATGAAGTAATGATGCTGCACATCTGTAAACAACTGAGACTTTCAACTGAATCCTTCATCCAACAGAAAACAAATTCAGTGCTTTGAATAATGATATGCTTTCATCTCTAGACGTTTCCTGACTGCTGTACACGTGCACTCCCTCTGTAGTCACTGTGTAGCTGAAAATGGGATCGAGTACTAGTCCTTAGACTCCATGAAATGTGTAAAACCTTTTGTTCTTTTTGCCTGTTTGAAAACTGTTCCTGTGTTTTATATGTATCACCACCACCTACTCTTGTCCGCGTCCAAGGCGAAGTACAGTTCATCTCGAACGAGACTATTTTCACTACCGGAACTTCACAGTGTGACACCCGGCGGAAGTTAGAAAAAAAAGAAGAAAAAGAGGCGCCATTATCCTTAAATTTGGATTAGGGTTTAGTTGAAAATATTTGTCGTATTTCAGATAAATATTTTAATTGTAACAAATCAACAATGTCTTCAATTCAGGACCTTAGACGGTTTATCAACGAGCGCCTAACTGCAGCCGCTGAAGAAATAGTGGGGGCCTTTGAAAGTATTATCCTCCAGCACGAGGAAGAGATCCATCGTCAGCGCAAACTGCTGGATATTGTCTGGAAACCCCAAGTAAAGCTACACAGGATAGGTCTGTAAAAACGAATGATTTTACTAAAGCTAGCAGTTGGACTAAGGTCAATATGTCGAAGTATCCTTGAGCAAGACACTGAACCCCCAGATGCTCCCGGTGATAACACCGGTGCGTGAGTGTGAATGGCCAAGTAGCGTGAAAGCACTTTGAATGTGCTGTAAAGCGTAGAAAAGCGCTATACATTTAAATACATTCAACATGAATTAGACGTTCTTCTTCTTATGGTGTTTATGGGCGGTTTGCAGGCCAACCTAAGGTGCATTAGGCCACCTGCTAGGCTGGAGTATGGAACGATAATAGAACCGAAGGAATATATATATTTAAAAAGTTCTTAGAACTGCATAAACCACTAAATCCTATCCAAAATACCTGTATCTGTCAAATAACTAATAACTCTACTTGCTGTCTTACAATTGCTGCCCAAAAGACTCTAGTGATATATTAGTAATCTTTTTTTCCATTAACACTATCATTCGAGTGTTAGATTCTAACCTTTTTTTTTTTAGAAATTAACCCAATTCTTTTGTTGGAAGCACGAGAAGTGACGACAGGAGAGGACTCTTTAAAATCAGCAGAAAGTTTACTGAATGTCTGATCACAGGTAGGCATTACAGTGCTGGGATCAGAGAGACAGAGCTCCCGCAGGAGTTCCATCCACTGACCTCGAATTAAGGTCTTACAATACATTTTATCTTCTTGGGCTGCTCTGCACTCAACAAAGGTACAACAATTCATGCATTGTAATCCTATTGGTCATTTGGTGAGCCGGAGCTCACACCTCCTTGCTGGAATGTGATCTACACCAGGTGTCTGTGTGT